AAAAAAAAAAAAAAAGAATGGAGACTAACATTAAAATCTACCATGTTTCCCTTCCCCAGAGCAAGCTGCACATGGAGGGCTTCCGGAGCCTCAAGGAGGGTGAGGCCGTGGAGTTCACCTTTAAGAAGTCTGCTAAGGGCCTGGAATCTATCCGGGTCACGGGCCCCGGTGGGGTGTTCTGTATTGGGAGCGAGAGGCGGCCCAAAGGGAAGAACATGCAGAAGCGCAGATCAAAGGGAGACAGGTATGGACGGGAAGGTGGCTGGACTAGGGAGAGTTCTCCCAATCTGGCCCCTTTCTTGGGCCAGGATGCCAAAGACACAATGAAGCCTGCAGTCCCTGGCAACGTGTGGGTGTTTGGCGTTTCTGCCTTAGGGTATGGGAGATGAGGAAAGGGCTGTAGGTGAGAAGGGCACTTAATTATTTCAGAAGCAAAGAAGATCACAGATGGGAAAGTCTAAGTGATGGGGACAAGATGGTGGATGTACCTGTTGCTTCTTCACTAGGTCTCCAAGTGGCTAGTTTCTTTTGTCTTTGCTCTGTGCTGGAGCAGGTCATATAGTTGCCTGACTCCTTTAATTTTCTCTCTTTTTAGTGAATGACTGGTACAGTTTCTTAAGCGTATGGTAGTGTCTTCCCTATCTCGTGAATTGCGGTTCCCAGTTGGGGTCCATGACTTCCCGTCCTTGATTATTTCAGAATTTTCAAGTGGACATAAATCTGAAGATCCCATCTAGACAATGACAGATTTGGGAAGAACTTAGAGGTATCTAGTCCTAGTCCTAAGTCTTCCTTTTGTAAGTGAGGAAATTGGTTTCCAGGGAGGAGAGTGAGTATAGTAACTGATCAGAGCCCAGGTGTCCTCACTCAGAGGAAGGCTTCTGCTCTCGCACCTTTCTCAACTTTACCATCCTGCTTTGTACTAGGTGCTACAACTGTGGAGGTCTAGACCACCATGCCAAGGAATGCAAGCTGCCACCCCAGCCTAAGAAGTGCCACTTCTGCCAGAGCATCAGCCACATGGTGGCCTCGTGTCCACTGAAAGCCCAGCAGGCCCCCAGCTCACAGGGAAAGCCAGCCTACTTTCGGGAGGAAGAAGAAGAAGAGATCCATAGCCCTGCCCTGCTCCCAGAGGCCCAGAATTGAGCTACAGTGGGTGGGAGCTATGCTTTTGTGATCAGGAAGTTTTGAGGAGCAGGCATCAATCGGCAGAGTGGAGAAAGTGGGGACAGGGTGGGTAGGGGGCAGCTGGCGCTGCCATGTGTCTCAGGCCGGGGTCCACAGCATCACCCCCTCTTCCTTCTTGGCAGGGTAGGGGGAAGGGGTGAGGCAAATGAACTCCAACCATGCTCTATCCAAATGCTTGTGAGCGTGTTCTGGGGAAAATCTCTCCCCATGTGCTTTAGCTGCCCCAGATCTCCAGCTTCTGAAAGTGGTCTGGATAGGGAAGTTGTTTTCCTTTCAAAGAAGGATACGTAGTAATAATTTTTCCCATGCCAGAATGTAAAGATCAAGCATGAGACCAGATGGATGGGCCCAACCCACGGAGCACTACTTTCTGTGGGAGGGAATCTCTCAAGGGTAAGGCAGGGTTTTTTCCACAACTTGTCCCCTACCCTGCTCTTGGGATAAGATGCTGAGAACTCTCCCGAGCAATGGGTTGTGACCGCAGGCAAAGGGACTGTTGGGTGAACAGCTGCAGACCTGCTGTTCCTAAGCTTACTCCCACCCCATTCTGGGCCAATAGAATTTTATTTATTTGCTCCCTTGGATGACCGCACCTTGGGCCCCACTTTCTCCAGGATGCCAACTGCACTAGCTGTGTGCGAATGACGTATCTTGTGCATTTTAACTTTTTTTTTCGTAATATAAATGTTCTGGTTTTGTACTTTTGTGTATTTTAATCTTAAGGCCCTCGTTCCTGCACTGTGTTCTCAGGTACATGAGCGATCTCAGGGATAAGTCGGCAGCAGCTTCAGGTCTGCACGGCAGGAATACTGTTTGTTTTATCATCAGGGAGAACAACTATTTGGAGTGCATAGCCTATTGAACTACCTCATTTTTGCCAAATAGAACTGGCTTTTCTGCCATAGTGTCCTCTTAAAAACCCCTCCGCCTTCAATGTTCCATGGGAGACTAGGTTTTGGCTCAGTTGCCCCCATGACTTGATCTCTTTCTACCGGAAGACTGGAAATTGGTCCGAACAGGAAAAGGTGGTACAGGAAGGTTTGAAGAGGCTGCACCGAGCCAAAAGGTGCAGAGCCAAAGCCAAGGTTAGGAGAGGGCTGTCTATAAGTATAGTAAAGGATTTCTGTTCCAGACTTCTAATCCCAGGGCACGGGACTCACTTTACATACCAGATCCATCCTTCACTGGATTGGGCTAGGCCTACCATGCACAACAGGGTGTGTGTGTGTGTGAGAGAGAGAGAGAGAGTGTGTGTGTGTGTGTTTAAAAAAAAAAAAGAGTTGGTAAGAATAGCTTTAAGAACAATACCTCTGTACCCATCTTGAGCTGCCCAGGGATGGATGTATGAAGCAAAGGCTAAATTTCTCAACTTTTGTAAATTCTGGGCTTTTCTTATTGGCTTCCAGAGAGACCATAAGCCATGGCGTTATGGTGCCCAGAGCCAGTGTCCTGCCCTGCTGTAGCAGTGATTAATGTCGTGGTAGCTAAAGGAGAAAAGGTTTCGTTTACATGCTGTGAGATCACCACAAACCTACCTCACTGTGTTGAAACGGGGCAAATGCAATAGAACGCATTGGGTGATGTGTGTCTGATCCTGGGTTCTTGTCTCCTCCA